GCAACATAAACCAAAATAAAATGTGGCAGGAAGTAAAGAGTCAATGAATAGGAAAACAGAGCAGAGGGGAAAAAGCAAGAGAGAGAAAGGTGCCAGGGGATGGCAAACGAGTAAGCCGAAAGTAAAGTTTTAGGAGGAAAAACCAACAATGTAGAAAAACATCTTCAAAATTCTAATTTATCAAGATAAGAAAATAAGGGAAGAAATGATAAATTAATAAAATTGGAAATTATGTAGCTGTATATGGATACAAAGTGCAAAAGATACAGAGTAAAACTGAAATAGTCATTAGACAACAAGTAACAAATATGTGCCCAAATTGGGAAAACCTAAGAAATATTCGCATCTTTAAAATAATTAAAATTTGGATTCTTATTTCAAGAAAAACTATAAAAAATAAAAAATCAGTTTCCATAAAAAAGAAATGGAAATTTAGAATTGCGAATATAAAGTGAAAGAACCGAGTCCTTTCAACTTATTAAAACTAGCTTTTAAAATTTTTATATTCTAAAGTTATATTGGATTTTCAAATGAAGTTGAATATGAAATAATTCCTCTACTGTATTTTAGACTACAACAAAGACACACATTTACAGATGCTATTTGAAAAAATTAAATGGAAGAATGCAGGTTCAATTAGATTCCCCATCAAATATCAACTTGAGGCTTAATTCAAATTGAACACTTTCTAAAACAATTAACAAAGATTAAATAATTTAATCTTGGACTTTATAAAATTTTTTTTCTAGTAGATGAGAGAGTGTATAAATGTAGATGTAATGAAAGATAGCTAGATGAAATTATATAATTTAAGTATTAGAATTTGTAAAATTAGTTCAGATATAGGAGAGGGGAAGAGTATGAGTGAATACAGGGACAGATGAAAATACCCTAAATAAGTTAAGCAAATACTAGTGCTAAATTTTCAGCTTATGGAGAGACTCAAACTAATATTCCAATAAGGCACCATTTCATATGATAGACCAATCTGCATGGTGTTAGCTGAAAGTAATTTCAATTTTCAGAAAGGCCTTCCTGTGAATATTTGCTCACTTGTCATACGGACACATGTTTATGATGCTTTTAGCCAGTGGATTAGTGAAGTGCATATGTCAGAAAGATTTAGCTTTCTAATTAGTGTTCTTAATGAGTTTCTGCTATGTCACTCCCTAGCAGTCTATTTACCATATTCCATACTGTGGTTTGGAAGCTGAAACTCTAGTGAGCTGCAATAAACTCAAAGTATTTCTACCTAAACCAGCCCAGTCATGGTATTTAATCAATTCAATCAATAGGAGAGATAGTAGTAATGAGGTAAGTTAGAAGAGCCAAACAAAACGGTATAAATATAAAATATATCAGAACATTAAAATGATAAAATATAGGTAAAGGTGTGTTCAAGTAAAACTGATCAAAGACTTCCAGAATACCTGTATTTCAGTAAATGAAGTATAATGAACTTAGTCTTGAATTCAAAGTATATTGGCTTCACAAACTACATACCATGTGATAGATTATTTCACTTGCAAATCTGTAGTTTTGGTGAATACCTTGTATCTTATAAGCAGTAACTGTATAGAAAAAGCCTTGATTCATTAATGTATCAATACTGTGTTGTTATACTTTTACAGTAAATCCTATTTTAGTTTGGCAAAGATAATAGCAACACGAATATAGATGTATCAGTAAATGACTGCATATTCATGTTGCATCCATCTACCTGAGAGACTCTTTAGATCAGAGCAATACAAAACTAAGTAAATCTTAACTGTGCCATATATTATCAAGTTTTTGCTATATTCCAAAATAACTTAAAAAGAGAGGATTTAAAGTCAGATTTCAGACTTGATGTGTCTAAGTTTGATGTACAACTGAGAAAACAGGTGAACTTTATCCAAGGTGAGCAATTTCTTTTAACTTTCCTGAATATTTTTATGGGTGATATGACAGAAATTTAACTTTACAAAAACAGTAAAAAAAAAAAAAAAAAAAACTATGTTTCCATTCCACATCATACATTCTCAACCTAGAAGTAGATTCTCAGCTAGAAATGACATTTTCTTTATGCTTTGTATTTGATGGTAACACAGCTCTCTCCAACAAAGTGTGAGCAGAAATAATAAGGATCATTTCCAGTAAAGTGAACCAGAAGCTACTATTTCCTT